CAGGAAAATGTCAGTATATGGGATGTTATGTTATTTTATGGAACTTCTGTATGTAATATAACACAATAATGTGTGTTCTAATTCATATAAAAAAATCATGCTTTAAGATTAATTACAGTCTGTAAGTGGTCATTTAGGCAGTAATGTCTGTACACAGTCATTGTCATGAGCGGATATGAGTCCAAGATACTGTGTTCTCTCACACAGGCCAAAGAATCCTGGGAGATGAACACGACTGAGAAACTAGAACAGAGTGCCATCGTCAAAGAGAAAGGAACTCAGTATTTTAAGGTAGCGGAAATGTCATGCATACTGTTGTGTATTCATACATCCCATAGTAGACTGTTTTAAGAATCAGAGTGTGTTTTGTGTGCACAGGAGGGGAAATACAAGCAGGCAGTTATGCAGTACAAACGCGTTGTGTCCTGGTTGGAGCACGAGTCCAACTTGCAGCCGGAGGACGAAGAGAAAGCCAAAGCGTTGCGATTGGCTGCTCATCTCAACCTAGCTATGTGCTGCTTAAAGCTGCAGGAACCAAACCCTGCCCTCGAGAACTGTGACAAGGTAGGAAATGAACAACATTTTTGATGCTTATGCATTGTCATGGTTACACAGTCATATTGAAGAGCTGCAAAAGTATGTTTTAAGATTTCTATTTGGCTTTTTATTCCAATTTTTATTTTTTTTAGCGCTTGTTCATTTTTAATTTAAGTACTTTTTAAATTGAATATATTCTGTTTTAGTTACATTTCTAATTTTAGTTTACTCTTTTTCTAATGTTTGTGTGTATTATATCATTATAAAAAAAATAATGCAGTTAGAGTTTCTCTTCATTGATATTCACTCTTGAATCCTAATTTGCTGGTAATATTAAAAAGAGACCTTCATTGCATTCTGCCAAATTTCTCCTGGTTTCTTTTTGTTTTCTGTATTTTTTTTTGTGTGTGTAAAGGCACTGGAGCTGGACGCAAATAACGAGAAGGCTTTGTTTAGGCGAGGAGAGGCACTGGTTGTCATGAAGGAGTTTGACAGGGCGAGAGCAGACTTCCAGCGCGTCACTCAATTGTATCCAGCCAATAAGGCTGCGAAGAGCCAGATCACGCTCTGCCAGAAACATATCAAAGAGCAACACGAGAAGGACAAACGCCTCTACGCCAACATGTTCCAGAAGTTTGCAGAGAGAGACGCCAAAGTAAGTGTCTAGCTCTTAGTCACTGCACAAAAGATTTACCCGCCAGATATCTGTTGTCTTCTATCTAATGTTGTTGGGGGGTTTTTGTGTGTGTGTGTGTGTGTGTGTGTTTTTATTTTCTAGAAGGAGGCGGAGCAAGAAAAGGAGCAGGAAAAGAAACAGAACGGTAGTGCAATGGAATTAGATGAAAACGGAGCCCAGGAACAAACCGCAGCATAATAGCATGCTTGTGTGCGCGTTTGTATTATTTACTGTCTTTTGTGTTAAGTTTTTTGTTTTTTTTGTACCTTCTATAATATCTGTCCCTCTGAAGCGACTGTGTCTGTGCGAGTGAGGACGCATACTTGCTTTGGTTTCTAATCTAATATAGCAAGTGGTTTGCTTTTGTACTGTGGCCAGACCCTTGTGGCCAGGTGTGCACTCGCATATGATTGCACAAGTGTATGAATGTTTGTGTGTGCGATACTGTAAGGCAGCTAGTCGGCCTGGCCGTGTTCTCTCTGAGAGATGGTGGAAATAAAGCAGACTTGTTTTCAGTCTGTAGCCTGTACTGCAGCCTCTCGCTTCGGCCGCAAAACCATCCTTAGAAACTCTTGAGTCACACTGCTGTACAATAAAGCGCTTTTCTGTCCTGTCACTAAACTTTACGTAAAGTGCATGGAAATGATTGCCAGGGCAAAAAGACTGTTTTGATTTGTTTATTTCCTTTAATAAGAACATCTTTTCACTGTTAAATTCTCTGTTTAATGTATCACAACTGGAAGCATTTCCATAGTGAATCTCTGCTGAAGTCTTACAAGCAAACCACGCACTTTTGCTGTGAAGAATCATCTCGTTTCTGACTTTTCTGTCCTGTCACTAAACTTTACGTAAAGTGCATGGAAATGATTGCCAGGGCAAAAAGACTGTTTTGATTTGTTTATTTCCTTTAATAAGAACATATTTTCACTGTTAAATTCTCTATGTTTAATGTATCACAACTGGAAGCATTTCCATAGTGAATCTCTGCTGAAGTCTTACAAGCAAACCACGCACTTTTGCTGTGAAGAATCATCTCGTTTCTGCTTCACTCGTTTTCTGTGTGCGGCCTTTTTGGTGAGATCGTTCTACTGCAGAATATCATCAATATAGGGCTGAGATGTTGGCCATTTTAAAATGCAAGGTGAGAACTTGAACTTAGACCTGCAGTCTGTCTTTTTGTTTTGCGGTTTTGTCGCTTGTATTTTCATCTTTTTGTGGACAAGATTCCCCATGATTTCTCCATGATCGCACGTGCACACTGTAATCAGATGGTGAATTGTCACGACAGAAGATGCTCTGTGTGACCGAGCTCAAGCAGGACAGTAGTGCTGTAGTGTGGTTTGTGTGGGTTAAAGCGAGGCATACAGATAGATTCTGTTCCCATGTCCTTGATGCGCCTCTGATGTTGACTAGAACAATAAAACAAATTCAAAATCCTCCTGCTGTAATGTCTGATTTGTAGCCTTTAGTACAGTGTGAAAGTAGTACAAAATGTGTCTATCTCTCCAAAGATAAATTATAAGCCAGAGGAATCCATAAAAGTCAAGTCACCTTTATTTATATAGCGCTTTTAAGAATACAGATTGTGAAGGAAATAGATGCATTCGATGAACCAGTACTACTGCAGTCAGCTAAAATACAGAAACGATAGAAACAAAGCAAATTTCACAAATTTCAATCATAAAAATTATTTTGAAGTAGAATGACTGAAATAGTATTTTCTTGTAAAACCTCCAATGATCTTTTTTTTTTTTTTTTTTTTACAATTTTCTTTTTTATTTATTCTTTCTTCAATTTCTTTCCTATTCCTGTTTTCTTAACTGTCGTTTTTATTTAAGAACCATGGTGCTCATGGTCTTAGGCACCTGAAAAAATAAAATTGACTCTATTATAATAAATATACCTTTTTATAATTTAAATCAATTTTAAGTTAAAAAAATTTATTGAAAATTGCTAATAGGGAGTAAAAAATCATTTCAAAAACATTCCTGTAATCACAAATGACTGGGAAAAATAGTGTAAACCCTGAAGAGCATTACTGAAATTTCTGTAATTTAATTATTTATAATTATTGTTTATTGTAATATATTATCACTCCTAGTTTCTGTACATGAAGTTTGAAACTGAGCAGCTTTGTCATTACAATTTCAGTAATATCCCTTCAAATATAGTTTGACAGTAGGGGGAGCCTTGGACTCAAAAAGATTGAGCACCACTGCATTAGGCCAACTTGTTTCGATAAGTTTGTCTATGAAACCTTCACCAACTTACCATAATCATGCAAACAGCTGGCATTTGAGAAGGAAAAGACTAATGCAGAAATAACTGCACAACTGCTAAATCAGAAAATGTATTAGCCAAGTTGTACTTAACAGGGGCTTTGCCTCGATGGTTCTATAAAAGTGTAAACATGCCAAGCATGTGTGATATATAACTACATCTGCAGGGTGTGTTAGAGTGCATCTATAGTGAGAAGAATAAATATAGTGTATATACACTGTAAGTAGAGTCTAGCAGCAATGAAAAGAAAAAGTGAAAAATGGAAATAATGCATTGCTACACAACAAGCTTTTTTAGTAAAGTGCATTTTCATGGAACCTGTAAATTCTAGGAGTTAAATGATCCTTTCTAGGAGGAATACAAGGATGCAGTTGTATATAGGATACAAATTTAATCCATGTTAGACTAGTTTTGTTGATTAAAACATTTGCATGATAATTTTGAGCGAGTTTGTTTGAGTCATGTTTTGCCAACATTGACCAAATCAAACCAAATAGCCAGTAAAACCTGAAAACACCTACATTGTAACAATCAGCCAGCAGTCCCCCCATAAGGAAATGGCTTAAATCACATACTAAATAATGAATGAATAATAATATAAATCTCAAATGCACTAAGGTTTCTGTGAGGGTTGGGTTTAGGATTATCATTAGCACAATCTGGAAACCACAATCAAAAGGAAAACTAATTTTGTGTGTGTGTGTGTGTGTGTGTGTGTACCTGTTTTTCTATTCTGGTGGGGACTTAAACCTGAATACACACAGACTCACGGGGACTCGTGTCACGGTGGGGACCTAAATTGAGGTCCCCACGGGTAAACAAGCTAATAAATCACACAGAATTAAGTTTTTTGAAAATCTAAAAATGCAGAAAGTTTCCTGTGAGGGGTAGGTTTAGGGGTAGGGCAATAGAATATACGGTCTGTACAGTATAAAAACCATTACGCCTGTGGAGAGTCCCCACAAGGATAGCAAACCAGACAGTGTGTGTGTGTGTGTGTGTGTGTGTGTGTGTGGAGAGGACATCTAACCTCAGGTTGCTCCAAGGGGATTTTCAATATAATGAGTCCGTCTCTATTGATAAAAGCATCTGCTAAATGACGGCTTTTTACTTTATTACTCAACGTCATGATAGTAAACATTGTATGTTAAAACAAATACAGATAACATGCTAAATGAATTTTTTTTTGACTCACATATGTAAACTAGGGGTATTAAAAAACCTCCCTTTCACTACATAAAAATAGCACAGTAAATATGAGAAGGGTTAGATTACAATTACAAATATCTTAACTGAGGAGTATCAGTTTTAAATATACTTTATATGAAAAATATAGCATGCGTTTTAAGGTTAAATAAAATGTTGTACTATTAACCTAAATCAAACTCCTATATTTTTATATTAATGAAAATGTACAGCTTCTCTAACCAAGGGTGATTTTATGTCACTGGCTTTGAAAGCATGAGTTTTTCCCATGTCTGCCTGCAGTGGGTCACTTGGTTACACAATGGTCACTGGGGACGGTAAAGTCCCCAGGCAGATATGATTGTTGGTCAGTGATATATCTGCCAAGCACATCTCTGTTTTTTCTTTCATGTCTCACATTCAAATGTGTAGCTCATCCCACATCTGCTGGAAATGCCACCGAAGACAATAAACCTGCATGCAAAACAACCTGCAGCAAGAGTAGCAGGTCATACAGGTTTATCCAGATCAGCAGTGCTGCACAACACATCCAAACATATTACTTTGTCCTGTAAGGACTTTTAGGAGGCAATCCCAGTTTCTTGTGAATTAGCATTTAAAAAAAGAAAAGCAACTGTTATTAAATTTAAGGAAAGCTGTTTTTAAATGTTCTTATTTTATTTTAAATGTTGTTTTTTATTTCCAAATATATAAATACGAAAAAAAAACAATTATAATAAGTAAATGACAAAATAATAAAATATTACATCTCGACAAAGTACATCGTATTCTTTAACTAAACAAAGAAAAGGACAGCAAAAGTTTACTGTCTTAACTAAGAGCTTTGAACTTGATAATAAATAGCCTAAATGACACAAAATAAAAAATAAAAAATAGCCTATTTCGACAAAATAGATAGCATTCTTTAGCTAAACAAATGAAAACGGCCGCAAACTGAAGATGAAATAGCTTGGATATATATCTCGATATCTAGTAGTAGGCCTATTTACCTTTTTTTTTTTTTACATTTATTTATTATTATTTAGATTTTTTTATTAACAAGATCAAAATACATGTATATGACAATACATGATATAAACAATAAACATTATACATGACATAAACAATTTCACACTAGAGGGGCTGTATACAAATACAAATTTATCTAAAAATATTAAAGCGTTTACAAACTTTCACCTTTTTAATTGCTTTTTGTTTCATAGAAAATCGTATAGGATCAATATAATGCTCCATTTCCTTCCTAAAAGAACAAAAACAAGGTTTTTTGCGTGAGAACGTACATTTGTGAATATGAAATTTTGCATGTAAAAAAATAAGATTTATCATGTAAACGTGACTGTGCTTTTCTTTGCTGTTCTCCAATATACCAAATAATGTAGGCCTATTTACCTCTGTTGTACCTGTTCAGGAGCCGCGACGTCACGCAGGGGGCGTGGCCTGCTCAACCTGTGCGCGCTGATGTTCGAGGGACTCGAGCGGACGCTGAATCACAGCGAAGGAAATGTGAACCAGTGTCACGCGAGAGCGAGTTCTTCCACCGGCTTTGAACCCGGGAAAGCGTGTGTCGATGATTCTTACAGCGGTTTGCAACTTCTGCGATCCACACGGAGCCTGAAGCACTTAAAGATGATGCCCAACTTCTTCCCGGTGCGGAAATTCAAGCGTAACGGCAGATATATTGTGTTTGGCGCGGTGCTGATGGTCGCGTTACTGGCGGCTTATCTGGAGTTCATGGCCATGAACGAGTGGAGCAGCCCTGGTGAGTGACATCTGATGCACTGTCGCTTCATTACTGCTAATGTTAACAAGTCAAATTATGGTGATGCTTTACATTAAGGGTCAATTTATTAACCTAAGCTAGTAGACTATGTATCAGCAAAACAACATTAAATGTTCTAAAATCTTGACCTAAAGTTTTTGCATGTTTACGTTTTTCTGATGTCGGTTAATGGTCACATTACACGCAGGTAAACAAATAAAATATTGAATCTTTTTGAAATGTTTAACAAATTTTGGACAACTTGTTCTAGGTTGTTAATGTTACAACAATAATTTTTCAACTTGAAATGAACTGATTTGAATGTATACAATTTGAACAATGTATTAATATTAATTAATTAATTAAATTATATTAAATGCTGTAAAAGTATTGTTCGTGATTCCCAATGCATTAAATACCGTTAATGAATTTAACCTAATTGAAGATTATCAATATTACATTATTCATTCCATTCCATTGTCTTATTCTATTTCATTCTAGCAGTTTCATACATTCCACAAACTTCACTAAATTAATTGTTTACTGGTAATTAAACCAATTTCTAAGATTCCAGTTTTACACGCTAACTGTTTCTTATAATATTCCATTCTACTACCAAAATACATTCTATTTTTTGTACATATATCCATTCTGTTTTCTAATTAGAGTTTTCATTGGACTTTCTTGTAATTACATTCTACATAAATTCCATTTCTAACTGCATTTCAGATTTTACTCACTACGTTCCACATCTATAATGTTTATTTGCAGTCCATACTAATTACATTCCAGTTTATTGGATATTCTGTTGTATCAAGAGTTTGAATGGGCAATTAGTATTCTTCTATGAAAGGCAGGGAGGGAGGAGCTGGAGTTTGGAGTTTACTGTAAGTTTGCTCTTAAAGGGTCGCATCAAAGCGAAAATCGCATCAAATTCCCCTTTAAAGGAATAGTTCACTCAAAAATGACAAACTTCCTGAAAATGTACTCACCCTCAGGCCATCCCAGATGTAGATGAGTTTGTTTTTTATCGGAACAGATTTGAAAACATTTAGCATTACATCACTTGCTCGCCAATGGATCCTCTGCAGTGAATGGGTGCCGTCAGAATGAGAGTCCAAACAGTTGATAAAAACATCACAATAATCCACACCACTCCAGTACATCAGTTAACGTCTTGTGAAGTGAAAAGCTGTATGTTTGTAATAATTTGGGTTAAACTAAAACTATTAGTTTAAGAAGACTTTGTCATGGTGAATTGCTTTCATTATTATTACACACACAATGCAATATGATGTACAATACATTATGCAAACAGTACAGGACAATGCAATTTAATGCAATGACAGAATACATTGTGTTGCTGTGAACACAGATACGGTCAGTGTGCATGCAGACACAAGAACATCAGGCTGGTTGTTTCTGTCCTGCCAGTCTAGTTTCTTTACCCCAGCTAAAAATCAGGTTGTTTCCTTCCCATTCCCAGAGTGACTCACGATGGCTCCTCTGCTTTTCTTTTATCTGCTGGCTCAGGGACCTTAAAAATGATAGCAGTTTTAATCATGTTTTCTCATTGGCCCTGAATTGCAAAGGTTGCACAAAGAGAAGCTTATGTGATGGAGGAAACATGAGAGATGTCAGGTGAGCTCGGACCTGCAGAAGGGGTTTGTCATCTTGTTTGAGGTCAGTATCAGGTCAGAGGAGAAGCACCAATGTCACAGCACCTGGACATCAGCCTGCTAAAATTACATTTGAATAGTAAACTCACACTGCCCATGTGAGCGCAATCAGATTAAGAACAAAAGCTGTCCGGTTGAGCTTTGAGGAGGAAGCTTGAGTGTCTTGAAGTTCCTTGTTCCTCCTGTATTTTCGAAAGAAATCCAGAGGGAAATGTTTGACCTGCACATGGCATTGACACGCTCTTGTGAGTCCGTTGGCCATGAATTCACATGCATGCCATTCCTCTGTGAACCTGCATATATTTTGCATTCTGATTTACACAGTACTTTTTTTTTATCCTGGGTTAATGTTATTTGAATATTTATGAGGTTAATAACATCAACTGGACATGCACAATGCACAATATGAATAAACACAAACCTTTCCTTCTATTAAATGTCATCACGTAAGTCTATTGCTTAAACTGTTAACACATTAAGTTTTTTTCTCCAACTCTGAAAGTTAATTGTGAATTTTAATCTCACAATTCTGACTGTTCTACTTGCAGTTCTAAATGTATATCTCATAATTTTGACTTTTTTCTAAGAATTGTAAGAAAAAAGTCAGAATAGTTTGTTTTGAGTGTTGAAAGCAAGCTACTGCATTCAGCTTTCATTTTCAAGGGCTGTGGTTAGTCATCCGTGTGGCCTAACCTAAATTTTGTCTGGGTGTGTTGGTTTAATCCCACTGGGGTGTTAGTGTGAAGTGACGAACCCTTGTGACTGACCCTTGACCCTTGGTTTTTTTTGCACCAGCCCTGGATTTTTAGATAATGCTGAAATTTCCTTGTTATTTTTTGTGGAGGATCATCTAAGAGCAGGTGCATGAAGCAGAAATGGAACGAGACTACAGTAATGCATGCCTCTCTCGCACTCTCTCCCATACTGGGCATGGGGGCTTCTACTTTCTTTTAAACAAACTCAACATTCCTCCAGGGGATACCAGAGACCTCTCGGGAGGACAGTAAAAGAAAGGATTTGGAAAATGGAGAAAGGCAGAGAAGGAAGTGTTGGTTGCTCACTAAAAACTCACTTTGAGCATGCACATGATATACTGAAAACTTCAGGGACTCTTCTTTAAAACGCATTTGTTCTCACTCAAACACTAAGGAAAGTTCACACACCGCCCAGTGTGCAAATACACCTGAAGACACAGACCATAACAGCTGGCCACCCCGGCCCTCCCTGCAGTATGTGTTTAGTGGTGCTGGGGGTCAGGTGACCCTTTCTTCTGTAAGGTGCGGCGTCATTTCCTGTACTTCTTGTTGCTATAGCACCGATGTGCAAGGTTAAGTACACTTGGACTTCTCTGCACACACACACAAGGGAGTGTATGTGTTTTCTTCACCTTCTGATGAGTCTATACATTTGCTGTAAATGTTTGCAGAGACCTAATGTGCAAATTAACTATAACGTTTTTTTATGTGTGTTTTGTGTGCATGCATCTTCTATTTGACAAGCTCGCAACATACACTTTGCCCCTCTTGAGCAGGATGTTTGTCAAAAGAAACTCTTGTTCTTCATAACTGGAAACCTTAGTGAAACTTGAACAACTGGTTTTTGCTCTTTTGCTGGTTTTTGAAAATGTGCATTCAAGACACATACACGGTTGTACAAATGATGAAACGTGAGTCTCTTTTTATTGTATTCGCAATCTGTGCTGTGTGTGTTCTTACAAAACGTCCCCTTGGGATGTCCTCAAGGTATAATGGATCATAAATAATGTTTTTTTTATTCTTAAAACTGTTCGTATATAGTCATTAGAATTAGCTTTTATGTTAGTGATGCACTAAATTTTTCATTGAGTTTTCATTTGACAGAAAACCTAAGTTGTACTTATGTTCACTCATGTTTATTTCATGCTTTAACTAGTACTAAATAGGAAGATATGATTGGTTCACACATACCGCTTGACCTGAGAAGGCCACAGCAATCTGTCATGCCACATTATAGAGCATCAAAACAACATTTATTGTCAGTAGTTAGTTTGCGATAAAATTGACATGATTTTGAAACCTGAAACTTTTTTTTTCATGTTAAAAGTAACAGCATAAAGCTTATTGTGATTTGAGAAACACTAAGTAAACGTCACTTTTTCAGTCAACGATTTCAGCCCTCCAAAACTATTTGAATTTTTGGTTGCTAAAATTTAGGAACATCATAAACAATAGGTGTTTATAATACTTGTATGGTACACTCAGTACATGTGTTTAGCCATACATAGTAAACAAAATTGTCCTTAGAAGCTTTGTAAATCTGCCAAAACTGCTGCAGTGATAAAACACATTGATCAATAAGAATGATTTCCATTTAGAACTAGGATTAGTGTTAGTCTGTAGTAATCATAATTGACTTTATTATAAACAATGTAAGTGTGCTATGTCCTAGGCATGTAATGTACATGGACAGATTGCTCGTATGAAATATCAGCACCAGGAAATAGTTATGTTCTGTTTTTTATGGAGTTAAATAATGATCAAGGAAGCATGTTTGAGACACAGAATTTTTTTTTTTTTTTTTTTTTTTTTTTTTTTTTTTTTTTTTAGGTCATTCCAGTATTCCATGCATGCTTAAAATGTACATACAGTAGAAAATAAAATGTCAACACATCTATGATGCTCAAAAATGTTATCTAGGTAGTTGCTGAGTAGATTTTGCAACAAGCAAAATAAAAAATGCTGCTGGAAAGCAGATGCATGAACAACAATTCTGTGTGTTTTATGTGTGTGTCATAGGCTCACATCTCTGAAGATCACATCTCTGACGATAAACATGATAAAGACATCTGGACACCAAAAAACACTCAACAGACATGGAGGGTGGAGGTAATAATACGGCCACAATGATGGAAACATACATGGATGGTATTATCATAGTGTCCAAAAATATGGTATTAGCATGGTACATGTTTAATAAACATAGTATTTCCTTGGTATGTGCTCAAAAAACCAGCACCATGGTATTTTTGGTACTTTACATACAGTAGAAAATAAAATGTCAACACATCTATGATGCTCAAAAATGTTATCTAGGTAGTTGCGGAGTAGATTTTGCAACAAGCTAAATCTAAAATGCTGCTGGAAAGCAGATGCATGAACAACAATTCTGTGTGTTTTATGTGTGTGTCATAGGCTCACATCTCTGACGATAAACATGATAAAGACATCTGGACACCAAAAAACACTCAACAGACATGGAGGGTGGAGGTAATAATACGGCCACAATGATGGAAACATACATGGATGGTATTATCATAGTGTCCAAAAATATGGTATTAGCATGGTACATGTTTAATAAACATAGTATTTCCTTGGTATGTGCTCAAAAAACCAGCACCATGGTATTTTTGGTACTTTGTAATAGTTTGTAATATTTCTGTCACTCAGAGCGCTGTATGCATGATCTGTTGATGTGCACATGCTGTAAAGATGATGGTATTAATCCACATGAGTATGTCGCCCAAGGCTCTTTCTGTGTATCTTCAGCAAGAGTTTTACCGTCTTGTTAAATTTAGCAAGACTCTGTGTGTTTCTGGTGTCACTGTATGAGCTGTACTTTTTTGTTCATTCTATATGTTTGTTGGTGATTTAAAAGAATATTTGGGCTACCAAATTATTTATGCACTATGGATAACATGAAGTTAGTGATTACTACAGAAAATAACTTTGGATTATTGACTTATAACAAACAAACAGTAATGTGCTTACAATGGAAGTCTATGGGGAAAGATACTCCAGTTATATGTAAATGAACGTAAATAGTACATTTAGACAGTAGCACATACAGACAATCACACTGTTTTACAATATTTTTTTATGTTTATTCCAGTGTTGTGTCTTACCCCATAGACTTCCATAGTAAGTGCATCAATGTTAACATGGTTTTTCCTTGTTTTTGCAGTCTGATGGATAAAATATCTTTTAATAATATAGACTATTAGAAAGTGAAAAAATTGTGTGTGTGTTGTATGTTTGCCGCAGTATAAAGGAATGGCGAATCTTCACATCTTTGAGGACTGGTGTGGCACGTCTATATCTCAACTACAGAAGAATCTACATTATCCACTATATCCTCATGTAGGTGTTATATCTGTATAGATGTCATATCTGTACCCAACTGTTTTAAATATTGATAATAATAATAATAAATGTTTCTTGAGCAGACAATCAGCATATTAGATTGATTTCTGAAGGATCATGTGACACTGAAGACTGGAGTAATGATGCTGAAAATTCAGCTTTGATCGTAGGAATAAATTACATTTTAAAATATATTCAAATAGAAAGCAGTTATTTTAAATAGTAAAAATATTTCACAATATTACTGCTTTTGCTGTATTTTGGATCAAATAAATGCAGGCTTGGTGAGCAGATATGAGCATATATACTGTGTGTGTGTATATATATATATATATATATATATATATATATTTAGTATATATATACTGTGTGTGTATATATATATATATACAGTATATAATTTCAGCTTTATTTCAGTTAACAAAGATTGTTCACTGAAATAACACCATTAACAACATACTTTACTTTTAATATTACATTTGTTTGCATTGTATTTGATATGTTTTTATCTCTGTAGACTCGTACAACTGTGAAGAAACTTGCCGTGTCGCCCAGCTGGACCAATTATGGACTCAGGATATTTGGATACATACATCCTTATACCGATGGTTTGTCTGTCTCTCTTTCACACACACACACATATTCAGATTGTGTGCCATTGTCCCACTGTTATTCCTTCCCTTTGTTTGGCAGGTGACTTTCTTTTTGCAGTGGCGTCTGATGATAACAGTGAGTTCTGGCTCAGTGAAGATGAGAATCCTGACAATCTGAAGCTCCGCGCTTACGTCGGAAAGGTTGGAGAGACGAGTGTCAACTTTATGATTACTTTTATGCAGATGCGTGAAATGCACGCACTGAATTTTGTGTGATTCCTCCATTTTTAGACAGGCAGAGAATGGACTGCACCAGGGGAATATGGGAAATATGCCAGTCAGATATCAGATCTCATTCCGTAAGTGGATGCTGTGTTTGTGTTTCATAATGCTTCAGGGAAGTGCTCACACATCTGTCCATGTTATGACCACATACCTCAATGATGAAAAACTATTTTTAGATTCAGTATGTGTAGTTTCACAAGCTGCTGCTTGTGTCCTGATGATCATGGCACACAGTGGGAAGTCATCAAATTCTTCTGTTATAACATGATTTGTAATAGTGCAGGTGTGTGTAACAACCGTTGATCAAGATTACACTTCAGTAACATACTTCAAATCAAACATCAAAAATGAATTATGTATCTTTAGCTCGAATCACACAAAACAATGCTGATCCAGTAAACAAACACGTGATTTTAAATTGTGGTTTCAGAATCAGAACCATTGCTGTAGTAGACAGTTTGATTAACAAGTCAGGTTGTGATGATATTATTAGTCTGAGATAGTAACAAAACCACTTGATTTGAGACTTTGAATCTCTGAATCTTTTAAAATAGTTTGAAATGATTACAGTATGATAGTAATATAATTATATTATTATATCATCATACTGGATGTGTTTAAAATGGAAGTGTCGATGTATATACGTTTTAGTAATTGTTATGTGTGTGTGTGTCTTTTTAATACTCATAAAAACGTTTTAAGTTTAAATAAATAACTTGACTTAAAGGGATAGTTCACATAAAAACTATCATTTAGCTTCTCACCCTTAAGTTGTTCCAAATATGTATTAGTTTCTTCTTTTGAGCACAAAAAAAGATATTTTGAAGAATGTGTGTAACAGTTGACGGTAGCCATTGACTTCCATATCTTTTTCTTTTTTTTTCTTTTTTGGGTGAACTATCCCTTTAACAGGGAAAAAAATTGTATGTAATTTTTTTAATGTAATTATTTATTTGTTAAATTTAACATTATTTTAGAATAATATAGTATATCATATATATAAATGTATCAATATTTGATGTTTCATGAATAGTTAATTTATTTCCATTTTGTTTTCAACTCATTTCTTTTTCCTAATTGTCCTAATTTTTTTTTCTGCTGTGTCTTGTCTGTGGTAAAGCATAATGAGAAACAACTTGTGAAGTCACTATAAAGAAAAAAAAATATTATTTCAAATACCTAAAAAAAATTGTTTTAATTGTTCAATTTATTAATAAAGTAAATAGGGTCCATTTCATGTTTACAGTATCTTTTAATGTAAAACTGTTGAGTTGCATTAGAAGCTTTACATATAAAAGTTTCAAAGATATATTTGTGTTCATGCAACATTAGTAAAATTTCACTTTTTTATTGTTTTGCAGTCTGCAAAAGAACAATAAATATTTCTTTGAGCTCATCCACAAACAAAACGATCAAGGAACAGATCACGTGGAGGTTGCGGTGAGTGTGTTTACTGAGGGTGTCTGTGTGTGATTGGTGTAAACTGTTATGACACTCTCTGTCTTTACTTACAGTGGCAACTCAAACAGATCAGGAGTGGATTTTCAATCATCGATTCCAAGTTCATCTCCCTCTACACCAGTGAGTGTGTGTGTGTTATTTTGGGATGTGGTTGCAGAAATGTCAGGGTAGTGTTAGGACGCCTGGAATAGCAGCTCCTGTCCACACACACACCCTAAAACAGAGCTAATGATGGGGTAGTCGCCACTGCACAAAGTGTGTGTGTGTTATCATCTCATTGCTTCACCTGAAGTGTGTCAATACAGGCTTTTGCATTAATTTCTGTGTAAATGTATGCTTATGTAGTTCTAGTGAGAAACTGTGTTTTTGTCTTCAGACTGCAAGTTTGTCAATGTGTTTGCATTAGTTATTGCTAACTAAAACTAAAATTATTAAGAATCATTTTCGTTAATTTAAAAACAGCTGAAGTTAAATAAAATACAAATATTATATGAAAAACTTGATATTTCCTTGGCAGTTAACTCAAATAAAATAAGTTTGTTAAAGTATTAAAATGATTTAAACTGAGATAAATATAAATTAAAGCTAAATAGAAATGTATTTAAAAAATAACAATATAAATAATAAAATGAAATACAAAATTAAACTAAAACTGAAAATATAAAAAATAAAACCTATTAATAAATATTTAGAAGAATATAAAAAAATAGTATTAATAGTATCATGTTTTAAAAAATTGTATGATTTAGCTTTTTTTTTAAAAACCGTATGCAGTGTGTATTGTTTCAAACAGTATTATCACTGTTTGCAACATTTCATGATGCCATGTGACAGTGTAGCATACTGCTGTTTGAAAAGGTTTACATATAACATTTAACATACTTTTAAAGTGTTTACTCATCTCAGAAATGTTACAATTTTAATCAAGTCTAAAAAAAATTGCAACTCTTAGCAGTTTGAACAGTCTCCAATACTAATTAGTATGATAGTGTGCTTTCAAACTGATGACCTACTTGACCTACCAGCTCTGCTGTACCAGGCCTTATTTTGTATGTGTGTGTGTGTGTGTGTGTGTGTGTGTGTGTGTGTGTGTGCACGCAGATGAGTCCTCGCTGAAGACAGTAGATGTGAATCACATTCCTCAGACCTTTGCCAGTCATGTGACTCCGCCCCAGAGGTCGTCTGAGACTCCGCCCCATGGAGTAGACATGCTGAGAGCAGATCCACGTGACTCATTTCATCAGGGTGAGAAATTCAGACACAAACTCACATTCACTCAACACCCTTTTCATAGTCATCATAAACATAATAAACCAACAATGCAGACATGCTGAGCTATTAAACATCAGAAAACCCTCAGGGCATTCCAATCCCACATGCTGACATTTTTCAGTGGAAGTAAAAGTAAAGATTTGAAAGAATATTTTCACAGCTCTTTCCATATAACAGTGTTTCCTGTTGCCCATGTCTGTCAAAATGGTCCAAAATTGACAATGTGTGTATAATATAACTACACAGAATATACATATACAGGTTTGAAACATGAGAGTGAGTGAATATAGAATTTTTAAATTAAGCGGACCTGGCAGATGATGAGTGCTCTATTATAATAAATAATAAATCATTGTCATCTGCACTTTGTTATTATTTCCCTCACTTTATAATATTTTTGTTTCTTGTCTGTAGTTTATTGCTAGATTTGTGATTGTATTGACTTTCAGACAAAATCTACAACAGATCTTCAAGTTGCATGTGTACAAGCACTGCTAAAAACATTAGAATATATGCAGACAGGACATGAATTCAGTGCCACCTTGTGGCAGAAGAGACATTGTTACAGTGGTTCTTAGCTTTTTTGACTTAAAGACCCTTTGCCCAAAATTGTATTTTAAGGTCATCCCCCCAACCAATATTATATATAATATTTTTTATTATTTCTGCTGTAATTATGACAAAGCTGCTTGTTTTCAAACTACTTTTTATTAACAGAAACTGGAAACCTTACAATTAATTAAATTAAATTAACCACAATCCATTTTGTAATTTCACAAGATTTAAGAATTGTATGTTCTTCAATAAAAACAGTAGTTACTGAGATATATATATATGAAATTTTAATTTTGGTTTGGAGCTTGAACACATTAAATAATACTATTTATTTAAAAATAATGCTAGTTATTTAAAAATAATAATTGATTAATTTCAAGAAACTGCATTAGATGCTTCAGTTTATAGCATTAATACAAATACGTATTAATATATTTAATTGTTATGATTGTTAATAATAAATCTTAATAATAATAGTAATGAAGTGTTATAATGTTGTCCTTGTTTGTGTGTATTTGTATGTGTAGTTCCATTATTGGACAGGGCGCGTTTGCAGGGAGTTTTGCCTGAATGTATTTATAACCCCAGCTACATCATAAAGGGATATCCTCTAATACGCTACCAGGGCCTGCAGTTTGTAAGTGTACACAGTTAGAAAACTAATAAAAAACTGAAGTGAATGTTGTTGTGCCTATGCGTTTGTGATCTTGATCCATCTAATCTGATGCAGGTGTACCTGACGTACGTGTATCCTAATGACTACACACGGCTCACACACATGGAGAGCGATAACAAATGTTTCTACCGTGGGAATCCATACTACCTGGAAAGGTAGACACACAAATACTGTACACCACCGTTCATATGCTTGGGGTTGGTGTGGCTTTTTAATGCTTTTGAAAAAAGTCTCTTATGCTCGCCAAGGCTGGATTTATTTGATTAACAGTAACAGAACAGTAATATTGTGAAATATTATTACAATTAAGGGAGCTGTTTTCTTTTTGAATGTATTTTGAGATATAATTTATTCCTGTGATGCAAAGCTGAATGTCCAACAGCCATTACTCCAGTCTTTAGTCACATGATCCTTCAGTAATATTTATAATATGCTGTTTTATTTGAACATCATTTGAAATAGAAATGTTTTGTAAAATTATAAATGTTTACTGTCACTTTTGATCAATTTAATGCATCCTTGCTGAATCAAAGTATTAATTTCTTTAAATAAAATCTTACTGACCCCAAATTTTTGAACGGTCGTGTACAGTCTGTAGATTAGCAACATCACACCCACTAATCTATCTCTCTTTGGGGCACCTTGTGTACTATGATCTCAAATCAAATCATTTCATTTTAGATACGGCTTCTCAAACTACATTCAACTGGATTTGCGTGAAAATGAGGAGATAGTCATCAAATACAAAGGTACAGTAAACAATGAGTGCTTTTAAAATGGACAACATTTAAACAACATTCACAATGCATTTAACTTCCTTAATGCAACAGAAATATTTTGCAGGAAATAATGATCAGGGCTTAATTTGATGAAATTTTGAAAACAATTATTATTAAAAATGTATAATGATGAATTGTGTGCAATAAGATTAAAGATTAGATTACAATAAGTCAATTTATTAAAACATGGTCAATTTTGTTATCTTCAACTCCAACAGCTTGATGGTTCAGAACTTAAATCACTCTGAAAGGAAGTGTTTATTCATTCATTCCCCATTTCAAAACACTTAATGCCTGTCTTTGTCTTCCTGTAGGAGATGGCATGCAAGGAAGAGCCATGAACCTGGGCAGAGATGAAGATGAGGGCTTTCAGAAAGCTGGAAAGTATGAGGAGAAGCAGCAAATGAAAACTATGGAGAAGAACAAGGTTCTCCCGGATTTTGATGATTATTCAATGAAGAGAGACCGTAAACTGTTTTCTGTTCAGAAACATGGCAGAATCAGAAAAAAGAGGGAAGAATGGGAACTAGACAACAGATTTCAACAGATGGACCAAGACAACCAACCTAAGGAAATCCAAAAACCGCCTGAAGAACCACAGAACCACAAAGAGGAACCACAGCAGCAACCAAGAAAGAAGAAGAAAAGGAGACGTCCTGAACAAATCCAGCGGGACCAACACTACCTCCAAAACCCACCTTCTGAGGTGAAGAACTATGACCAGGGAAAAGAAAAACACTCACAGAATAACGTCATGGAGAACATACCTGACCAGCAGAATCCAGGACCAGCTCAAAGAGAAGCTCACTTGAGGTCAGAGGTGAAACATCAAGTGGACCAATCGCTTAATAAGGATGGAAAAATTGAGCTCCACCAACATAAAGCCAAATACCGCAACAGTAGTGATGGAAATCCAAATCTTGTTGCAGTTGGAGACAGAAATATTCCCGTGGAGAACATACGAGAAGAAGCCAATGAATTGAAGCAAAGATCAGTGACCAACCCTACCATGTTGGTTGAGGACCAGAGGGAACGTCATGACCTTGTGAATCGGATGGGTAAGCGAAAAGTCTATCTAGGAGAACATGTGGACAAGGCACCCAAGAACTCATTAGATGAGGTGAAAGTAAAGAAGGCAAAGCTGAAGAACACTGCAGATGAACTGCCATCCTTGAATGGGAATGAAGTCAAAGCTGAACCGATGAAGAGGCTCAAACACCCAAAACATAAAGCAGATGAAGCCGTGCATGGTTTGCAGGACAACCCCGAAAAGGCTGTAGTAGATGACAACAATATTCCCATCAAGCACAAAGATGTGGCTCATCATCTCCAAATTACCCAACATCCACACCAAAACTCATTGTATAACGAGACCAATGAGCGTAAGGCGTTGGTCATCGCGGCTCCATCTAACAAAGAATATAACAACCGCTGGGGTCACGTGAATGACAGCAGAAAGGAAAAGGAGATTCAGGATAATGTGATACAGATAGAAGAGGTTGAAGATGGAGGAGGTGAAGAAGACTCTTGGGTGAATCAGGGTTTCTCGGAGGAAGAAGACTATGACCTCCTCAACAGGGCTGTGTTTGACGTGGAAGTCAAGTGGTCTCAGACGTTCCAGGCCAAACCCCTAGATCTGCATGCCTTGCGCTCCGACTGGATCGATCTGAAGTGTAATGTGTCTGGAAACCTGCTGCTTGAGGAATCAGAAGCGTTGTCTGTAGTGGAAGCTTTCATGAAGAAACTAAACAGGAAATTTCCAAGGTAGGCCAACTGTTATAATGAATCAAATCAACAATTTATTCACTCTATGAGCTGCATTTGGAATGGAATAATACCATACTGAATAATACAGTTTATACAGCATACTGGGTGTGATTTTTATTGAAAATATATTAACCTGCATCAAAAGGGTAATTTTTTAAATAATACTATTATTTTATTCCATACTTTTATTTTATTTCATTTCAAATAAATGCTGTTCTTTCATAAAAGAATCCTGAAAAATAAACATTGCGGTTTCCACAAAAATATTAAGCAGCTCAGCTGTTTTTAACATTGAGAATGGTAAGAAATATTTTTGAGCAGCAAACCGGCATATTAGAAGTATTTCTGAAGTGATGATGCTGAAAATTCACCTTTGCATCACAGGAATAATTTACATTTCAAAATATATTACAATAGAAAATTAGTATTTGAAATTGTCATATGTCATAATATTACTGTTTAACTGTATCAGATTTCCAAAAATGTTGCGACCCAAAATTTTGAACTGTAGTGTGTGCTATTTTATTTTATTACTTCCTAAATATACCATTTTAAATGGTATGCAGTATGTCTCTGATCATTTTGCATGCTGATCAAAAGTATTAGTTCAGATAGTATTTTCAGATTCGCCGTCATAATGGAAATTAGTCATGCAGTATGCTCTAGTTCTATAATATTGAATAAATACAGAAAATCAGTGCACAGTAAAAATGGTATGTACTGTATAGTATGGTATTATGCCATTCTGAACATTTTAATTCATCTCTGACATTAACTGGTATGTGTGTGTAGGCAGTTCTCTCTAGAGCGTATTGTGAACATTGAGAAGAAGCCTGATTATAATCGTGGCAGTAGATATCTATTGGAACTGGACTTGCAGGAGGCTTCAGGACGCCACCTGCGCCTGGTTCAGTACATCTATGTGAAAAGAACTGAAGATCGGGGTTTTCACAAAAAGCAAAATGCTCAGGACGCAGAACTTAAACTTTGCAATCCGTATAGCTTCTACTGGAACCCGACTGCTACTGTCCACTTCATCGTCCCAGGTAGCACTCTCATATAGAGTTTTATTCAAGATGCTTTCTTACAAACCCTGGTGAAGAAAATGACTTGTGCACGTTTCTGAGTAGACTGCATGAAACCTCTTCATAAGGCACTGTGTGTGTGTGTGTGTGTGTTTGTATGAACCAGTGAAGAACCAGGCCCATTGGGTGCAGAAGTTTATTTCAGACATGGAGGAGATGTACCGCACCACTGGAGATCAGAACTTCAACGTCATCATTACTGACTATGAAAGCACTGATATGAACATAGAACAAGCACTACAGAACTCTTATTTACCCAGGTACATTTACAGGTTTATAAATACACACTTAGTAGAGTGATCCTTCATGAGTTAGAGTTCATGATCATATGGCACATTGTCATCTCATGCTTCTTTAGCTATCATATTTCTTTCTTAAAGGGGTCATATGATGCGATTTCAAGTTTTCCTTTCTCTTTGGAGTGTTGCAAGCTGTTCGTAGCATAAACCTATTTCATTACACCAAATACACAAAATAATGTTCTTTTTGGCAACATCATATGACCCCTTTAACCTGTGGTAAAGTCAGTTTACTACAGCTTTGTAAAACGAGACCCCACTTTGAGTTCCTTTCTATTGTGTATCCCATTTCAGGTATCAGTACCTCAGGTTAAGTGGAAACTTTGAGAGATCAGCAGGACTGCAGGCAGGAATAGACCTCATTTCTGTAAGTTTAAGACAAACGCATGCACCGTGCTTACACAAAAAAATACTTGTTAAAAACATGGCAGGATCTTCAGTGAAATAGAAGGCAGAACTAATGCAAGATGATGGATGTCATTCAGTTGCAGCTTACAGTATAAAGGTCTGTCTCTTTCTCAGGATGATCACAGCATTGTGTTTCTTTGTGACCTGCACATTCATTTCCCTCCTGGCTTCATCGACACTGTGAGAAAACACTGTGTGGAGAGACACATGGCCTTTGCTCCGATAGTCATGAGACTGAACTGTGGCGCTACACCCCTAGAGCCTGATGGTACAGTCTTGCAAACACAAGATAACCTGATAGCACCATCATATACAACATAGAATTAGATTACTGTATATCAACACGTACACTATTGTTCAAAAGTTTGGGGTTCATAAGATTTTTTTTTTAATGTTTTTGAAAGAAAGCTGAATTTTCAGCAGTCATTACTGCAGTCTTCAGTGTCACATGATCTTTCAGAAATCATTCTATTGGTGATTTAGTGCTCAAAAAACATTTCTTATTGTTATCAATGTTGAAAACAGTTGTGTTGGTAATGTGCAGGTTACTGGGAGGTCAATGGCTTTGGTCTTCTGGGTATTTATAAATCAGACCTGGACTCCATTGGGGGCATGAACACCAAAGAATTCACTGACCGCTGGGGTGGAGAGGACTGGGAACTACTGGACAGGTCAGTCATGAGACAATACACTAATATCATAAAAAATTAATCATTTATTAGCTTGATCTCAAAGTCAGTATCCTTTTCTTTAAACTGTACATTATGATGTTGTGATGCCTATACTCACTGGCAGCATTTAAAATGATTGGTTTTTAGATTTTATCAAATGAAAACTGAATATATAATAGATTTTTTTATAGTATAAACTTATACTAAAATAGTAAAAAATATTTTATTTATTTATTTCTATGCACTTTTTTATTTTGAATCACTTTTATGTAAAAACATTTGAATTACCATAATTTACAGTATAAAATGTTCTATATAAATAAACTGGCCTTGTCTAGGATATTAACCCTTGTGTGTCAATTTAAAAAAGTTACTCTGTGGTCCTTAGAGGACCAAAATGTCCATGCCAAAAAATTGTCATGAAAATTGTAAGCTTACATTTGTTCTCATTATAATGAAGACCCTTGGTTGATTATTGCTGAAGTAAAAAAAAAATAAAAGTTAGAGGTTTTAGTTTATGAAAATGATTTATGAGCTAACTTTTTTTTAAATATATATTTAAAAAAAACATGTTGAACTAAAAACATTGTTAGAAAATCAAATCCATAAATCTAAACAAGTTGTGTTCCAAATTTGAGGTTGATATGTCAAAAAAATGAGCTTTTAGTAAGATTTTGTTTGGGCGCAGTACCGAAGTTTTTCCGTTACATTGCCAGCAAAGCTCTGCTGGTATACACTGGTGGAATTTGTGATTTGCAGTACAGTATAATTGTTCTCTCTCTCTCTCAAGCATTACAGTAGTACACATAGACACACACAATTTTTTAGTACACACATGCAAACCACACACTGACATCCATACCCACACACTCAAGCAATTTATCCAATTGGCTCTAAAATACAGCAAAAACAGAAAGAACAAAAAAGTGAGAGTTTGCTTTATAGGCCAAACCTGAGAAAATGGCACCATTTAGTAAATTTTTTTTTTTTTAATTTACATTTTGAAGCTTTGTCAACAGAATGAAAGCCTGATAACAAAGATTGCATTGTTCTATAGTTAAATGGCCCTGGGACCAAAAATTGCAATTTTAATGGGTTCAGTGGGGACATTTTTGTATAGCTAATGTAATATAGATTTGGTGAAATATTAAAGGGGTCATTTGATGTTGCTAAAAAGAACATTATTTTGTGTATTTGGTGTAATGAAATGTGTTTATGTGGTTTAAGGTTAAAAAAACACATTATTTTCCACATATTGTACATTATTGTTTCTCCTCTATGCCCCGGCTTTCTGAAACGCGTCGATTTTTACAAAGCTCATTGGTCTGAAAAGCGAGGTGTGCTCTGATTGGACAGCTATCCAGTACGTTGTGATTGGCCGAATTCCTCAAGCGTGTGCTATGCCCCTTACCATACTGTAACGACGAGACGAGAAGAAACCAATAAAACCCATTATAAACGAGGCACTTGTTGCATCCAGTGGGGACATAATTACTGATTATAATGACTTGTACTGTCTTTTTACGTGTTGCGTTGCATCGTTACCACACACAGTGACGTAGACATGTGGGGGCGTGTTTAAACGAGGCTTTTTAGGAGGGCGTGGACCAGTCTTAACTTTTATAAAGAATATCTCTTTGGGTTTTAAGAATAAGACTTTAGTCTTTGCAACTTTAGGGATCTTATCTATTCACGAACAGCTTGTAACACTCCAAAGAGAAAGGAAAACTTGAAATCGCATCATATGACCCCTTTAAAATTCTAATAAAAATACACCCTTGTGCCAAAATTTATGCTGTTGGCATTAACACAGACAAAATTACAAAACTGAAAAAGACAGAAATGTCCATAAGGACACACAAGGGTTAATATTGGCTATTTATAGGTTATTGCCTGTAATGTGAAAATAATTCAGCTGTTCGTAAGGGCCAGAACTGTAATATCCCTAATGCTAAACAAACATTATTTGGTGTGTGTGTGAAGTGCTTTCTGTTTTCTGTGGTCTCAAGGATCATTCAGGGTGGGCTGGAGGTGGAACGACTCTATCTGAGGAACTTCTTCCATCACTTTCACTCAAAGCGTGGAATGTGGAACCGCCAGATGCTGCGCAACACGTAAGCATGTCAACAGTCTCGCCGCTGCTGATCAGCGGTTACCATGGCACTTTAAACCTCAGGACATTCCAGATGTGTTCCAGATCACATCTGACTGAAGGTGAATGTGAGGTGATCGTTTAATGGAAACACAGAGACTCAGGACAAAGATGTCTGTGATGTTTGGGTTGAAGATGAGTTGTGTAACACTGTTGCATCCAGACCTCTACAGATCATTTCCAAAGTTGGACTGTTTCTCCAAAGCTAGCTATGCTATCAAGAGTAAAAAAAAAAAACTTTAAAGGAACTGATACAAGTTATTGATGGCTTCAGCATCTCTTTGGTGTTGTTGTCACTTCCAGGTCAATAAAATGCCTTCAGTCGTGTCTGGCTGAGTATTCTATTCTAACAGACAGAAATGTGAAGTTCAATGAGATGTATATACTGAGAAAATGTGTATTTATTCAGGTAGGTAAGTGTCTTGGGTGAGGGTTGACTTTGCTCATTGTTACATATGTTTTATGCTGTGTGACCTCTTAGGGACTGAAAGCCAAAACCAAAGAGATGTGCAATATTCACAGAGCGTGTTGGTCTAAGAAAGTCAATTCATTCAGGTTAGAAATGCTGTTGTGTTTTCAAGTCAATCTCACAAAGCCTGTCAAGAACACGTCTTGGTCATATATCATCCTCAAAATACAAAAGAAATTACATTTTGTTAAAAGAATAATTTTTCAGTAATTTTCATAAATATTAAGCACATTGTACACCAAATTCTCATTACTGTAATGCAGACAAATTAAATTCAAAGTATGTATGTATGTGTCATGGTAGCATTGGCCTTTTATGCTGATTTAAAAATAAAAAATGTCTTCATATTATTGTTACTGTAATGCAATACATGAAAATTATTTGCATTAGATGTGCTTAATTGTCATAGATCATAGTACCTTCATTCAAGGCTTAATTATCATTATGCAAAATGAAATGTATTTTGAAGGAGGGTATGAAATGACCCAGCCATGTTTTCTGTGATATTTGTCATTTTGTAGTGCTAAAGGTGTTAAAGCTGAAAATGCTCTTTTTGTACAAATGAAAGGGACTTTCCAGCGTTTTTTTAGCTTCATGATACATTCCAGTGAGTAAACCTGTTGATTTAGACTGATTCAACCCTGTACAGTATTACTTAAAACAATCCTAATGTTCATCAAACACACAATCATTTTCAGTTCTTTTCCATAGGGTTCTTATTTGGTTTGTTATGAGTTTGTACTCTGATGAATTACATGCCAAATTTTCCCACTGAAAACTGAGATAAGACATGCTCGCTCAAAAGTGCCTTCTGCTGTATGTAATTGAGAAGTAATCAGATCTACTGTACGCTCTTGTTTTGTGTAGGGATTTGGCGTTTTTTTTACTTCTTTTATTTTTTTTGTAAAAACGAATCAGACATTCACATAGTGTGTTACTTACAAATCAAGTTATTTATTTTTCCACATTTTGTATGTGGCAAAATGGAAATGAACTTTAACTCATTTGTGCAGATCACCAACAACCTTAAAATAAAATGTTTCTTCAGATTTCTTCAGCGTGTTTTATTTGTTATATAATCAATATCAGCATCACCTGTTTTTGAGCATTAATAAAATATATTAATTAGCATTACGTACTGTACTTCTTTCCGGCCAATATACACTTTTTGATGATGATTATTCTCTTTATTTTCTGTCTGTTGGCATGTTAGCGTCATCATTCTTGTGTTCCATCACTCCATTGTTACGTAGGTTAATCCCTGTCTGTTGTGCCAGACTCCAGAAATAGCTGCGTGTAAATGTGCACCGTTGCTGTAATAAATAACTAAACCAAAACCTCGAAAAACATTTCTCATTACCGCAGGAGGATTCTCAGTACTGCAAATGTAAATGATTTGTTTAAAGTGAAAACAGGTAAATTTCTTTTGGGAAAATGAAATGCTTTCAATGCTTGAACTGCTTTGAAACGGCATTCAATTTTCCACCGGTTCTGTGTTTTTCGACTCTGGAAGCCCCCTACAGTTAAACAAGTGGAATTCACTGTCGTAATTACAGTAGATCGCTGTACACGTGTGTTTTAATAACGTCTAAACCTACCCCTTACAATAATGCAAAAACAGTAATTGTTGTACAGTCTGACAAAAATTACGATTGATGTGAGCATGCCCAGTAGTTTTAGCTGAATCCCTTCAAGCACAACCATTTGCATTTGTTGTTGCTGTAAAGCAATCGGCCCTTGTCGCGGAATTCATTTCAAATAATCCCACTACCAGAGAAAACGTTTGGAAAGAAACAAAAGCCATTCGCCTTATTAGAACTCAGTGTACCATCAGAATGATTTTAAAACTGATAATTCAAGGTAAAAAAAAAACTTGCATGAAAAAAAGCATGCATTTGCTTTAAAGTAAACAAATATTGTCACTCACCCGTTGTCTCCATGTAACGTTACAGCAGTTATAAATTGTGGAGAATGTTTAAAATAGTTTTAAAAGGAAAGCTCACCACTTTAAATCAGACACTGCATTTAACATATATAGTGTTTTCAAACTGTATAATGACAAAATAAAAACTCCACCAAAATGTAACGTACATCTAAATACAGCACCTAATTCCAGAGCATCTACAAAGTTAAATGAGGGCCCTCCATCTGTTGGTATGAGCTTGTGAAGGGTTAAAATAAGACCAGGAGACTCTGGCTTCCCTCTGAGCATGCTTAAATTCTACAAATGCCTTTTAATTTTATATGGACGGCTATATTTAGCGAAGGCTCGCATCTGTGCATTTATTTGGAGTTGTGTATGCGTGCATCCTCAGGTCTACCGTCAGCTGAGCTCACCACATTGTCAGTGTAAAGTACAAAGATAGAAACACTCATTATCTAACTCAATTGTTTAAACTTTGACATGTTTAGAGGAGGGCTGAAGTCTATTATCAGTGTTGTTTGTGCATTCAGAATGGAATATTAGTGTATTTCTAACTGCATAGCATTGAATAGATGCAGCCAACATTAAAAGAAAAGTGTGAAACTATGTATAATGCATCAGTTAACAAATTCATATTTTTATTCATAAAGGATGCATTAAATTGATCAGAAGTGACTGAGAAGACATTTGTAATGTTACAGAAAATTCAATTTCAAATAAATGCTGCTCTTTTGAACTTTATAATGAATTCTGAAAAAAAGTGTCATGGTTTCCACAAATATTAAGCAGCATAAGTGTTTTGATAAGAATAGTAAGAAATGTTTCTTGAGCGGCAAATCAGCATATTAGAATGATTTCTGAAGGAACGTGTGAATAAATTACTAAATTAAATTCAAGCCTAATATTTATTTAATTCGAATTTAATTTCTAATATTCTAATAGAAAACAGTTATTTGAAATTGTAGTAATATTTCACAATATTACTGTTTTTACTAGTAAATGCAGGCGTGGTGAGCAAGACTTCCTTCAAAAATATTAAACTAAATTCTTACAGACCCCAAACTTGTGAACAATCTATTTGTCATCTCAAATTTTTTGAGACAAAAAAAAAAAAACTGTTATTTTGCATTTTTAATCATTATTGATGATAATAATGTATTAGCCCAGGGGTGCCCAAACTCAATCCTGGAGGGCCAGCGTCCTGCAGAGTTTAAATCCATCTTGCCTCAACACATCTGCTACAAAGTTTCTAGTATGTCTAGTAAGAGCTTGATTAGCTGGTTCAGGTGTGTCTGATTGGGGTCGGAGCAAAACTCTGCAGGACACCGGCCCTCCAGGACAGAGTTTAGGCACCCCTGCATTAGCCTATATGTAAAAAATGTCTCAACCCTTTGCACATGCAGTCTAATCATTAAAAATGTGTCAAGAAAAAGGTATTGCTGAATATTTGCATACTGTCCATAATACACACTTTGTACTGCAGAAATATTAAGAGTACTATGGAAGTTTCATCATGCTGTTTTGAGGTGATAAACTATTCTTTCTCCACCATTGTTCATACAGTGTGCCTGCCAAACCAGGCTGCATTACACGTCAATAACTCGTCTCTTTCTGTTATTTTGCATTTTTAATCATTATTGATGATAATAATGTATTAGCCCAGGGGTGCCCAAACTCAATCCTGGAGGGCCAGCGTCCTGCAGAGTTTAAATCCATCTTGCCTCAACACATCTGCTACAAAGTTTCTAGTATGTCTAGTAAGAGCTTGATTAGCTGGTTCAGGTGTGTCTGATTGGGGTCGGAGCAAAACTCTGCAGGACACCGGCCCTCCAGGACAGAGTTTAGGCACCCCTGCATTAGCCTATATGTAAAAAATGTCTCAACCCTTTGCACATGCAGTCTAATCATTAAAAATGTGTCAAGAAAAAGGTATTGCTGAATATTTGCATACTGTCCATAATACACACTTTGTACTGCAGAAATATTAAGAGTACTATGGAAGTTTCATCATGCTGTTTTGAGGTGATAAACTATTCTTTCTCCACCATTGTTCATACAGTGTGCCTGCCAAACCAGGCTGCATTACACGTCAATAACTCGTCTCTTTTGTCCCCCTCAGACAGGTGTTGACCAAAAAAATCACTGCCGGACACACTGACTTCTCTCGTCCTTGAGCACAAACACACAGTCAGTCACACAGTGTGAATAATCTGAATAAGTCAGTTGTTAACGTGACCTCACCACCCTGATATGTAAGAGGAGCCCAAACTGTCATTCACACAAGGTTGTGAAATTCTCTCCATCCAGTATGTGTTAAATATATCATGACAGCCTACTGTTATAATAAATCACACAATTTTAGCACAATCAAAATTTTATTAACCTTAAATGGGCAAATAGCAAGTAACATTAAACATTTCCATATTCATATATATAGGCCTAGTTAGAAGCTTTCTTTTGATTTGTATTTGTAATAATGCATATTGTTTATTTTTTACTGGTGACTGGTTTCAGGTAATTTTCTTCACACGCATACATATACACAGTTATACACACTCTTATATACACTCCTATTACTGTCCTCCTCCAGCAGCATCAAACATCTTCTTCCTGCCCTCCATACCAGACATGGCCTCAACATTCTTACGCCAGTCGCCCACCTCCGACGACATAACCTGACAAAACAGAAATCAAGTGTGCAGTTACTGATAATTGAAAAACTGTAAATAGGTTTCCTGTATTCTCTTGAATCTCTAAAAACCTATCAAGGATGATTTATAGCAAATGGGCGTATTTGGCCCAATTCTCCATAATGTAATGCAAAAGTTATATTATAATGATAATCACCTTTAAGAATAACAGGAATTAAAGAAAAAGTGAAATATCTAAAAAGGATGCGTTCGATTTAAGAGGGAAAATGAGTTTAACTGTCATGAAAGTAATGTCACAATGCATAGAATTGCGAGGAAATAAGACTTGTGAGATAATAAGAGTCGCAATTACTTTATTTAAAAAAAAATTTGATTCCATGGTGGAATCAAGCTTCCATAGTAATGTGACTTCACATTTCAGTGAGATAAACACATTGCATGCAGGTGTACCTTCTCTTGTTTAATGTCTTCTTTCTTCACAGATTTGAGGTTGGCTCTGAGATCCATGGAGCCCTTGTGTTTGGACCCCAGCAGCGCTCTCATCATCTCATCCGCAGACACACGCACCTTCCTCAGGGCAGGTTTCTTAAACTTCCCTCCTAAATCTTGCACCTTCAGCTTCAGCTCTTGGATCTTTTACAGACACAGACACTGTTAATTACAGAAACTGTCATCTGTTAATAGTGCACGTTTAGGAAAGGTACATTACTCACATCTTTGTTGTTTTTATTCACTTTGGCCTCAAAGTCGTATCTCTCCTCATCCACTACGTCGATTTTGGCATTGAGTTGCCGACACAGTTTCTGGACACATACAAAATTATAATTACAAAATGACTAGTATTACTATTTAACATGTTTTTTTTAATGATTTGTGGTTTCATGATTTAAGTCAGCAAATCACTAAAATAACACAAATGGAATGTTGACTACACTCTAAAAAATGCTGGGTTAAATATAACTCAGCGCTGGGTTAAAAAGGGACAAACCCAGCTATTGGGTTGTTTTGAACCCAACCGCTG